ATCCCAGCTCTAAGATCCAGAGATCTCGGTGGAGTAGTCTATTCGCACCCGAAGGGGAAGGTCCCAGGTGGACCGCACTTCGAGGATGCAGGTCGCCGCAGAGCGGGGGGGTACTGAGCTTGTTGGTCACCCGCTGAAAGAGCTCAGGGATCTTGCAGTAAAAGCTGCCCCGGCACTCTTTTTGTCCTGCTGGGGCTTCGCTGTCTTCGCCCATCACAAGGCCGACAGAAGTGCGGATCAGATCAAGATTGCCCCTTGAGCAGCCACCTGACAGTTACGCAGTTCATGAATCTTCGGATGCCGGATGGAGCGGGATGCCAGACTTACTTATACCAATGAGTGGGTGGGATGGTCAAGGAACGTAGGGAGACTTGATTGGTTTCCTTTGACCCGGGGGTTGTGGGTGCCTGATGTTGCTTCATGCATGCACGCATCAACATGTCTGTAGGAAGAATCACTGAAGCAACTGGACCGGCGGATGCACAACAGTCCGTGAAAGAAGAGTTCTATGTCGTGGTGCTTTGTGAAGGATAGGGGCACCCTAGGGGCACCCCTGTCACATCCACGGCCCCTGGATGGCACTAAAACGATCCAGACATGGAACTCCTGGTAATGGTTTTTGTATGGGGCACCAACTTCACTTCAGGCTGCAGTCTTGAAGTCAGAACTTACACAATGAACACATATAATAGGAAAACTGGAGATTTCAGGGTTTGGCAGTAAACCTCTTGTTGACCGAAGTGGGAGACCCCCCCCTTCGACCCCCCTGGAAAAAAGATCAACCAGCGGAAACTCTACGCCAGGACACACCCAAAAGCATCGATACACTGCGTACAACAGATACACAATAAGTTTCTCGTTTGACTATGTTTGACTCACACGCGCCGGTATCACCGGCGCGTTGATCGAGGTCCCCTCTGCGACAGAGGTCGGTATCGATGCAAGGACTCTCCGCGAACTGCGATAGCGCGAGCGCGGCGTGTGGGACAGGCCGACCGGCCGTGCAGAGGTAGGTAACTGGAGATGATGAACAAACCTTAAGTCCTTAAGTTTGGACATGTTTGGAAGTTTGAAGTTTGAGAATGTTGAGACTGAGAGGATTTAGCTGTGTATGGTTTGTTGTTAGACATTTCTCTAGACTTAGAGCACTTTCACCGCGGCCAGGACATTTGGAACTTCAATGCTTCCATGGGCAGATGCATTTGTGGACCTGGCTGTGAGCCGGAGGACCTTGCAATTTGCTTTGCTTGGAAGAAGCGACTGAGCGACTTGTATAGATGTCAAAACAAAGAAGCCATGACCCTAACAAGGCTGGCAGGATCACTTTCTGTGGATGTGGCCTTTGGCAGGTCTTTGTGGGACAGAGCTGGAGGATCGCTTTTGGTACGGTCATTCTCTTTGGATCCACATGCCCTATGGAGTTGGTCCGCCATATTTCGCCAGGGTCAGTCGTACCGAACCTGAGAAGGTACAGACCGAGGTATAGACTGCACATGGATCCTTATCGGGGTTGGGGCACATTTCGGTATGTCCTAGTCTATTCCAGGCACTGCCAAGGTGGGTCTTCGGTATCGCTGACCGCCTTCCTTTTGCAGTTGTGCCTGTGGAGTTTGGGTTGCTTCTTAGTTCCCTTAGGTTTGCTTCTTTTTCAGGCCATGACATATAGTCTATTAAGTCTATATTATAGACATATATTTGTTTCAGGCCAATTTTGTTGTCGCTCTGGCCTCGGATGTTCCGACTTGACTTGCCATCTCTTTGGGTTTCTTCGAACGGGCAACACGTCGTCAGCCAGTCCGAGCGCCGCTAGGGCTCCCGCCAGGCGACTGGGATACCCCAGACGATAGAACGGTTGGTGCATCCAAGTGCGGGTAGAACAATATATGGGTTCCACAGACATAACATCGTTTTCCGATTTTTATGACAATAGTTTTAGTTTTTAACGGGTATTAATAATCCTTTTTTTGGTCCAATCGAATTACGAACATTTGGAGTGGAAGTGACCTCTGCCTGAATCTTGAGACGGTGACAGCGACTCCCTGAGAAATCTGAAATCTCAAAGCCCGGTTGGGATCCAGTCGTACCTTCTCAGGTATGGTGATGTGTTCGACACTGTAATGCAGGTGCCATTGTCGGGTCCAGTCGTACCGAACCTAGGGAAGGTAAGAGGAGTCATGCAGAGTCAGTTGTCAAGTCGCTTTACTTCCCGGTACAGCACGAGCGGCACGATGTTTATATTTTTTTCACACAGAGCAGCGTCCATATGAGTAGTGTTTTTTTTTTTTTATTGCATGATAAAATTTAGATTAGACTGTAACTCCACAAGTGTTTGCGAAGGCATTTGTGTGATACATTGTGTGTAGCGAAGGCTCGCGAAGCCTTTGGCGTAGGCTGTTGGATTTCACACAGGCGAAGCCAACTCGCGAAGGCAAACTTAGAGTCTATGAAAGGTTGAATCTGGCGTGTCGGAACCGCGAAAGCATTTCGCGAAGCCTTTGGTGTGTTGCGCGAAGCCTCGCGAAGCCACCCTTCCCACAAATTCTGACCATGCGAAACCTCCAGCGTAGGCAACCCAGCAGTGTATAAGCACTTTACCTCTTAAAAAAAACACGGCTCATATGGTTCCCACTGAGCATGAAATGAGTGCATCAACTGCCTCACCCTGTTCCCTGCTGGGCGATGTCAGGAGATCCAAGTGGATGCAACTGAGAGAAGGAATGTGTCGGAATGCCATTATCAGTGCAAACAGCGCTCCGAATGCAAAGGCTTTCAGGGGTGCCCTGGCAGAAATGTCTGAAACGTCGTAGGCCCATGGCGCCGAAATCCTGACGGAGGGGTCCACCGATAGGCTGGAGGTCTCCCAGAAAATTGGGGAGCGCAAAAGATCGAAGAGTTTTTGTGAAAGCGAACGTAGTGGTTTTGAAAGCATGTTGCACCAACCAGGAATTGCTACTCTGTGGGACCAGTCGACATTGGCAGATTAGCTGTATAGACTGTTGATCAATGAACCCCGAACATACAGGCTTGACATCTCCCTGTGGGGGGTTTGATTCATCAAGAGTCTGCATGGCACAAGAACATGACTTCGACCTTTCACTGCTGAGTAGTTCCTCCGCCTCTGCTCCAGCTGTAAGGGGTCGGAAAACGGGTTCAGCCAGCCAGGTGGTCCCTGGGTCTTGCGATGTTGCAATGGCATGAAACGCAGTAGCTGATTTTGAGCAATGTACTCCCTTGCATCGCCCGAGGAGCTACGATGCCCAGAAGAACTTTAGCTGTACGCTCTACAGGAGAAGAGCTCTACTCACGTGGATGGTCGAGAGGGGTGGGTGGACGCCAGGTGGATGTGGAATGTGGTGTGGAACCATGCAATTGCTGAGCAAATGGTTGTAGTTGTTATAATTACTCCAAGAATCACCAAGTTCAGCAGTTCTTTGGGGTTAATCCCCTATTCCGGATATAATATTCTATTTTTTTTTGTCTTTTTCCAGCGCAGCAGTTCAAATGCATTCGTTTTGCCACTTCGGCTCGAAGACCGACGTCCGACGTATACTTGGGGTCCTTTCGTCCGTCTGCAGGATTTCTGGATCAGATGATGACATGTTGCTGGATGGCGATCGGATGATTGGAGACTTGACAGTTTTCTGTCAGGGCGTTCGGCTGTGAGATGGAGGCGTTCGAGACGAGGATGCTGTGGATCAAAGGATCGAATGAAGGTTCGGTCTCCATATGGGTTAAGAACCTTTTCCTTTTGGTGCTTTGTGTGTGGTTCCTTTTTTCAGGGCGAAACATGCTGAAACATGGCAATGTCTATGTGAAAGGGCTGCCCCAACATCGATGACCGATGAAGGACATGGATATGGACTTAGTCGGGTCAGTGGGACTAGGGTAAATTGCAACAGTAATCAGGGTATTTCCAGACAGTT